AGTTTGGTCCTTTAAGTATTTCTCTTTCCATAAATATTTTGGCAAGCCTTTTCGTTATCACCTTTGTAACAACCTTTTTAAACGTTTCGATTAGTGCTATTGAATGGATGTTGTTTAAACTGTATCCCTACTCTATATCTTTTGGTATCAGGTAAACTTGTGCTATTTTCCACTTTATCAGGATTTCTTCTTTTTTTAAGCATAAGTCTGCAAAGCTTTTGAAGATTTTTTGTGTTTTCACTCCTGCTCTTTTAATTAGTATATAGCTTATACCTAAGATACCAGGAGCTGTTCCTGTCTTTAACTCTCTTAGTGTCACTTCCCATTCTTCTGCTTTGATTTTTTCTTCAAGTTTTGCATACCATTTCTCTCTGATGCCTTCTCTCAGTTTGTATATCTCTTTCCACTTTTCTGTCATTGTTTCAAGTTTGATGTTTCTTTTCTGAACTGCAATTTATAATGTTCTACTACATTCGTCTTAACCTCTTCTGGCTTTGTTATTAAGTATGTCTTCTCTTTTACTTGCTTGATAAGTCTGTCAAGCAAAATCTTCTTGTATGGCTTATTTAAAAGGCTGGCAAGCATTTTTCCTTGGTCTGTTTTGATCATTTAATATCATTTATTTATATTTTCTTCTATTTGTCTTCTTTGTATTTGTTCTCAGTTCTTTTTCTTCTTCTCTTGTAGGATCTTTTGCCAACTTTTCATGTCTTCTATCCAGGCCTGTAACTAGTGCCTTTGTAGTTTTGGCAGTTTTGCTCTTATCTTGTTGCCTAGTGCTTTTAGTTACTCATTTGTTTCAATTCTTTCTTCTTCTGTTACTCCTTGGTCCCTTTTTGCCTTTGCATATTTTATTAATCTTTGCAGCTTTACAATATTTTTTTCTTGTTGTTGTGCTTTCTGACTAGTTCTTCTATTTGCCATTGTATTGTATACTTTTTTTTTGGGTATATGCTTATTTGCTGCAGTAATTATTGCCTCTTTTATTGTATCTCATATACTGTTTATCTTGTTTAATTGTTCTTTTTTATCTTGTACTTCTGTTCGAATATTTTTAAGGCTTTCTTTTGTCTCTAGTCATTTTTGTAGTTCTTGTATGTAATTTTCCCAATCTTTCAGCTTTGCCTGATCATATAAATATAGTGTTCTTGATTGTCCTTTCTTTTTAATTTCTGCTTTACTATTTTTTCACATCATATGTTCGATTCATATTTCTGCAGTTATTATTTTATGATCACTTTCTGTTATTTTTTCCGTTTCCTTAATGTTTGCCTTTTGCAAACCTAGAGCTAATTCTTCTGATATCCAAATATAGTCAATTCTTATTGCAGCTTCTTTGTTTGACCATGTATACTCTTGGCTTGTTGGACGTATGTTTCTATATGTATCTATAAAGCTTTGCTTTCTCATCCAATTAAAGATCAGTAATCTTTTAAAATTTGCTGATTGTAAGTGTTGTCTGTTTATTATTTTGTTTACTGTATAATTAAAGTCACCTATAATCACAAATTGTGTTTGTCTTTTTTGTTTAGTAACCCTTTCTACAATTTTTTGCTGGATGAATCTTCCCATCATTTTGTTACTTGGTGGTATATAAATTCCTATTACCACTAGCTCCAATTGCTTGAAATATAGCATAATCTCTATCATGTATTTATTTACTCTTTTGACAGCACCTACATGCTTTTCCCATTGTTTTTCTATTAGGATTCCTATGTTTGACTCTTTTTTCTTGTCCTTTGCTGTATTTGTCCAATATCCTATATACTTTTTGTTTGCTATATATACTAAAAATCTTTCTTCTCTTTTAAAAATGTTCGTTTCTGTAATTTCCAATATTGCAATTTCTTTTTCTTCTGCCCAATCTAACAGGTTCTTGAGTTTCCAACCTTTGGTTTTTAAACCATTGATATTATGACATGCTATTTTAATTTCTTTTTTTTCCTTCTTTCTATCTTTCTTTTAGTTGTTCTTGTCTTATTTCTATATTATTAGTTTTTTTGATCATCTTTCTTTTTTTTCCTTTCAAATAAGGGGATGCTTCTTTTTCTTTCTCTTCAAACGTTCTTCTTTCCTTCTGTAGAAAGGCTTCAATCTCCTTATCTGTATTCCTAAGCTTAACTAAAGTGTCCTTAGGAGTGGTCAGCTGAGCCTCTATTCACCTCCAGCTGCATTTTTTCTATTCTATTTAATCTTTCTAATATTTGAAACAAGACATCTTCTACTGGTAATATTCCTTCTTGATCTAATATGTTCATTTTAGCCTTCTTCTCCTTTGCTACTACTGTTTCTTTCTTTATATTAATGTTTTTGTCCCCTAACTATGCTACTATATCTTGTAACTGTGGGTCACTTTCTATTTCTCCATATCTCTTAATAGATGTTTCATGTTTTGTACCTCTGACTCTTGATGCCTCTTGTCTTCTGTAATTCAACTGTCTCTCGTTGCTTAACTTTGATCTTTCTTGTCTTCTGCCTCTTGACTCTTCTCTTTCCTGAGTTTTTCTTCTTTTGGGATTTTCTCACCTTACTTGATGGTTGTTGTACCATATTGGTGTTGTTTGAGCTGCCTCCACTTCTTGAGCATTCGCAAAAGTAAT